TATCAGCGGAGCGCTTGCAGTGGACCCATTGGGCAAGCATTACCTTTATACCAAAACAAAAAGCGCATAATATGTCTCTGATTGAGAAAAGAGCTGCTATGAAGGACATAGCTGGAGGTAAATCAGGTGCAGAGATTCGAGCCATGCTAAAGAAGGAGGCCCTGCGCATTACATCCATGGACATTGCTATAACTACAAGCAGTGCAACTAGTGTCTCCTGCTCTATTACTACAGCGACCACGGCAATGTATGCCGCTACCACGACAGCACCGTCTACGGAATTCTGCCTAAGCGTCTGCTCAACAGCCCCGTCGCCTAATGGGTGTGTGAGGTTACCCCCAACTGAACTCCCTGGTACAACCAAGGACCCGAACAGATGGATGAAAATCCATCTGCAGCAGCTGCTGCTCGTCTTCGCATAGCGGTCAGAGACAACAAGCAGAAAAGCCAAGCCAATACTGCTGGCCCCACCTTGAATCGAGCGGCTACAGCAAAGTCATCGCTTCCAGTATATACTCAGAAGGCGCAGCCAAAAACCCACCTTTTGTACTGAGAGACACCCTCATGCATATAAGAAGTCTGTAGTCTTAACAACGTGCAGATTAAATCCTCTATGGGTGAGACTGTCAGGATTTAAAAGATAACAACAAAGAGATCCTTCAAATCCGCTCACTATGCCATCAGCGGGTTCGAGTAGAAACAGCAAGAAAATCGAACGATCTAGTCCAGTGTCGACGGTGTCAAGAGTAACATGTGTATTCTGTTGTGCATCATGTGGTGAAAACCACAAGTCTTCTGAGTGCACCAGAAGCAAGGAAGATCCAGCAACTTGTAGCCAGTGTAAGGGAAGCCATCCAGCTAATTTCGTACAAAAACTATGAAAAAAGAAACAGGCCCAAATTCAAAACTTTAGCACCCCAGGATGCGCCAACTAACCCTAGTCAAAACTACGGAGTTGCATATGCTCCAGTCACCAGTGGCCGCGTACCTGATCACAGCCCAAAAGGCAAGATCACCTGTCTCAGGGGTTGCAAGAGGCAGTGCAACAGCAGCAGCAACGACAGCGGCAGTAGAGTCAATAACTACAGCGTGAAGAAAACTGTAGAAAACAATATGGATGAAAAGACAGAGGATGCTCGCATTCCTCATCAAAGCTGTGGAAGCACTCCAAGCCCTTATGCAAGTCCAAATGCTCGAATTGCTGAGCCCTAAAATGACTACCCTAAAAGCCTTGATCTGGAATGCACGTGAAGCTTCCAGGAAACTTTTCGAGATTGGCCAGTTTGCCGAGAGAGAAGGAGTAGACATAATAATGCTCTCTGAAACAAAAACTCGCAGTTAAGACTTCACGGCTTCGAAGTGTATACTGCTAATCACTGTGGTGCCGCTATTTTCATCAGCACGAAGATCAAGCGCGTTCCTATCGAGCCTATAGTAACCAACATCTGGAGCTATAGCTCATTTAGGTGAGATTGTTCTTGGAGCGATCTACTGCCCCCCGGGTCATCGACAACATCTTTTTTGCCGCCAATTACACAAAATATCTAATTTGGGGAGACTGGAACGCGAAGCACTCTTGGTGAGAATCACGAGATATCAGTCCCAGAGGAAGCGTTCTAGCCACTAGCGTTGTCGCTGTCAATGCTAATGTCCTGGCGACTGGATCTCCCACATACTTCTTGAGCGCTGAAGGTCCAACACCTTTCCATATAGATTTCGCAGTGTACCATGGAATACCCAGTCTTTAACTCAAAATACAGGAAAGCTGGGACCTGGAGTCTGATCACCTGTCACTCATTCTGTCTCCCAACGCACAGGCAACCAGAAAAATTGCCCGCATCTATTGGACAAGCACGCAAACATTGCCCATTTTAAAGAAGGCCAAAGTAGGTCCATCGAGCTGAATAAAGAAATTAACTCAGCAGCTGAAATAGACGAAGCAGAGAACATGTTCAACGAAAAAGTACGCGAGGCTGCCAACGAGCATGGCCATCGAGCAAGTTACTAGTCGCAACGGGGCAGGTAGTAACTCGTAGCGCCGTCCTTACCGCCCACCTCCAGCAATTTTGGGACTGCTGGAAAGCAAACGTGCACTTTGTCGGCGGTATCTTCAAACCCTCCATCTTTTTGATAAGGCGCATTGGCTCAGGAATACGAGTGAGTTGCGCGAGGCCCTAGTTGAGTTACGGAAGCCCAATTTGAACATCTGCTATCGAGGAAATATTGCGTCGCCCACTAATGATTTCTCCAACTATCAGACCTGTCCGACTTGAAGAGTTGCAAATAGCAGTGAAAGCTCTTAAAGTCAAGAAAGCTCCTGGGAAGGATCTGATTCCAAATGGCATAATAAAAATACTCCCGAAGCGAGCACTTCTTTTGATCACATTGATCTTCAATGCGATCCTAATAGTTCATTATTATCCGTTCGATGTTTGTGTACTATACATCTCGCCCAGTGAATATGTGTCTGCTGACGGTATTCAACAGTACCTAGAACTATTGGAGCAATGGGCCAAAAGGTGGAACCTGGGAATCAACGCTCAAAAGAGTGCAAACGTATGCTTCGCCTTAAAGCAAGGAATTCCTCCAGGAATCTACATAAATAATACACCACTGGAGCAGCCACGAAAAGCCAAGTATCTGGGGTTGACGCTAGACATTACGCGAACACATTGCCAACACAATCGCGATGTGTAATGCCAAATGAAAAAAAAAAAACATACATTTGCCATACATACATACATATTATTTCTGACAATCTATTAATCAACACCTGTTGGTCTTCTACATCATCAGCATCTTCTAATGCATCTCCTTTCTTGTCACTCGGTTTTATATGTTCCTTGAATGTAGCAAGTAAATGTGTTCCAGCCATTGAAATGAAGGTTTCTATTTGATGTATTAGATATAGAGGTTCATCTTGAACTACATATGGAAAATAGGCCAGGGTATCAGCAATATATAACATTTGTTGTAATGAAGTTTTCTGATCGTCAAATTGTTTAGTAACTGTTTGCACTAAAGCACGCCTTTGCGGCTTAGTAGTGCGCAGAAGTGTATAAAAAAAGTCGTTTAGAGCGGTAGTTGTATAATCTGGTCCGCGATTCCTTAAATTGTAAATTAATTAATATCCTCTAATTATTTCCAGTTTTCCTCTGTCGTTTTTTTTGTAAAACTTTTTGTAGCTTAAAGCAAAGTTGTATACGTATACTCCTGATCAGGATCACAAGGCGATTCATTCTAGTCATGTTCGTATCCTATACAGGCTTTAATTTCGAGAACTATAAAAGCTTGAAAGCTGAAACTAAGCATGCTGTCAGTTTCTTTCCCCGCCGACAACGCTTTCACGCCCACTCCTTTAAGAGTTTTGTGTTATATGTTTGATGACACGCCCAAAATTATACATAATTTTTTTAAATTTGTGATTTGTTTTTTTTTTACTATTTAATATCTCTATCGATATGCAAATAAAAATTTTGCAATTCCTTGCCGTTTTTTTTATTTCAGTCATTTGACATTTTCAGTTAATAAATGTTTTCATGTTTGTGTTGGTGCACGAAAAGTGGTTTCATGTAATGCGCAGATAAACAATGTACATCCAGAAAGTAGAAAATCGAAATTCTAAACTCTAGACCAAGTCATCGGTAATTGTATTTAGAAACTGGTGCCCATAGTGCTTAAAAATATTAAACAATTCCCAACTTGTTATGGCTTATATTTCTTTATACATTCCCTCTAACAGCCTATAAACTAATGGACAGGAAGTGCCGTTAATTCAGTTCAAAAATGTGTTCATGTTTGTGTTGGTGCACGAAAAGTGGTTTCATGCGGTGCGCAGATAAACAATGTACATCCAGAAAGTAGAAAATCTAAATTCTAAACTCTAGACCATGTCATCGGTAATTGTAATTAGAAACTGGTGCTTAAAAATATTAAACAATTCCCAACTTGTTATGGTCCGTTCGTCCGTCCGTCTCTACGCAAAATAGTCCCTTAGTTCTAAAGGTGTCAGTATGAAGGTCAGTTTTCTACTGAAGGCATCGTATAATTCGCGGGGGTTTTTTTGCCACGATAATTTATAATTTTATTTATGAAAGATACGCACTTATGCCTTAAGAATGTCATTTCTGAAGTCGATGAACTTACTAGCGCCAAAACCATCGGATTTCCATTATGAAATATACAACATGTTTGCTTGTATCTTTCGTTATACATAATTTTTTTTTATTTCAGTGTATTGTAATTACTTTGGTTTCATAAATTTAACTTTTAAGTATTCAACGAAATATTGATATTCATCTGTACATTAAAACTTGTCATTCTTTTTACATAAAATTATTATGTGACGTGAAAAATCTGAAAAAACTTTTTTAATATTTGCAAAATGGAACAAAATTTCTGGCGCTGTTGGCTTGGTAATTTTTTAAAAATATTCAAATACAGTTAATTGGAATATATATATATACTTAATTGGAATTTTAAACTTCTCGAATTGATGCCGTTTCCCTGCGTTTTTACTGTTTAAGACGACGCTTTCTGATTATATTTAGCATATAAAATTATAATAAATAAGTAGTAATTATAAATAATATAAAAATAATTATAAGCCGCCGAATGTTCTTTGTAAACATTATTTTTTGTTAATCCTGCAATTTCGATTTTTACGAAAAAAAAACAAGTTATTAAAAAACTTCTATAAAATGGAGAATTTACACATATTTTCGTAGCAGTCAATCCTCTTCTTATGCGATTGGACTTCTGAAATATAAGAATCAAATAGATTATTTGTTTATCATATTGATTAATATTATTGATTGATTACTTTGTTATGGCTGATTCGATATAAATTGATTCGATATAAATTTATAAAGATGTATTAAATAATTTTTTCTTCTTGTCGTATAGTAAGATAATGTAATTTATTAATTTATTTAAAATGTAGTTAATAGCTGTTGGAGATCAGGTGCATTAAAAATTTGGTTTTAAAAAAATGTCACGTAAATAAAAGGGAATTCCTCTTAAAGCTTTTTATCTAAACCGTTATTATATAATATAATTAATAAAAATAATCACAGAATACACTTTTTCTGCAATTTGGCAACACTCCCAATAGCAGTTAGTAATAGAACACTGACTGACTTTCTCCAAAGTTAAGAGATCGCCAAAACACTAACGCCAATCCTGCCACCTATTTCATTTACTTTCTCGGAATTAGAGTCACAGATGTTACCTTATTTAGTCAAAATATTAAATAATGTTAGCCAAAAAAATATATATACAGTGGTGGAAAAAATAATGGAAACAAGAATCAAGAATCAAGAATACAAGAATCGCTCCTGCATGTAAAACAAAATTACTAATTATGTACGAAGTGTGTGTGGATAAACCGTTAGCACATAAGCCACTCATAAGGGTACTTTATTGTGCTCTTCTTTTTGAGTTGATTTCGCTCTTGTTATTTGCGGTACATAGCGATATTTGAAGTGGTCACGTGTTTGAGCTGGAAAAAATAATAGAAACAAGCTACGTTTTTGCGATTTGTTTGAGTTTTTCCCCTGTTAATTTTGTAAGTAAATCAATATATTAAATACTTTCAGGTATGTTTGCCTCATAATAAGTGATTTTGTAAAAAAAAAATGGTTAATTTCGGCTTTTATATTCAGAATGGGGCGCGGAGTGCACTGTTCACCTGTAGAACGAGATATTATAAAAAAACTAAAAAACGAAGGAAAAAAAATAAGGGAAATTGCTGAACTAATGCACTGCTCTGCAAAAAAAAAGTGTTTTCCGCGATTCATTATAAAGATACGAAGGAGAAACGGGAAAGAAAATGAAGGCACACTCGGCTAGGAAAGTTCCACTGCTTAGTAAAAAAAATATCGCTAAAAGACTGTCTTTTCCAAAGCGACACCTAGACCGTAAAAACTGGAATAATGTTCTATGGTCTGATGAAACTAAAATTAATTTGTTCGTATCTGATGGCAAAATACGTCCAGACGTCCAAAAAATACCACATTTGATCCAAAGCACACAAAAAAAAACAGTAAAACATGGTGGAGCTAACAGCATGATATGGGGATGCTATTCCACGTCTGGAGTTGGTCCGATATTCCGGATAAAAGATAGGATGTGTGCTCCCGACTACTTTAACATATTGGAGAATGTTATGAAACCATAAGCTGAGGAGGAAATGCCCTTAAAATGGGAGTTCATGCAGGATAATGATCCGAAACATTCGTCAACCCTTGCCTAGAAATGGTTTCAGGACCAAAAAATTAATGTTATGGAGTGGCCTGCTCAATCCCCGGACTTAAACCCCATAGAAAATTTATGGGGAATATTAAAAAGAGGAATTTGAGGTTTGAAATCAAAAAATAAGGAAGAGCTGTGGCAAATAGTAAAGTCAGAGTGGTATGCCATTAACCCCGAAATTTGCACCAATTTAGTGAATTCAATGCCCCGTCGATGCTCAGCAGTTATAAAAATAAAGGAAATACCACTAAATATTAATATTACACCTATTTTTATAAGATAATTGATAAAAATTACGTTTTTCTTAGTTTTAAGAGTTTTGTTTCTATTATTTTTTCCAAGCGCCAAAATTGAAGTTAATTATTTTCAGTTAATATAAAGATGAAAAAAATATTTTTGTTCCTTAATGTAAAATATACTTATATATGAATTTAAAAAAATAAAGATTACAAAATGTTACTTTCGTTCTGAGCACAAAATTTAAAATCAATGATTCAACCAACGTGTTTCTATTATTTTTTCCACCACTGTATAACCACCTAGGTTTTTTAGGTATTATAAAATGTTCAAGGCTGAACTAAATGAAGATCATACATAAGACTCCAAACAAAAGCAAATACAAATGTCCTATTCAATGTTATTTATGTTATGTTTCAATGTTATTTAAAATGTGGTTTTCAAATAAATAGATAATTATAATATTATAGATAAATTAGACAAGTAGTTATGTATGTAAATATGTATCTATCATCTGCCTTCACAAATAAGCTCATTAGAAGCCTTACGCGGCGTGGTCTTTCTTTTAAGTTTCAGTCGCCGGAGCTCATCGTCTTGCGATGGTAGTCAGATTCTAGAGTCGGCGAGACACTCTTGTCTTCGCGTCACAATATAAGTGGTTTTTTATTTCCTTAATTTAAAATCAATTTATCAATTTACAATTTTTTTTATAAATAAAAAAAATAATTATCTACTTTTCTGCAACTTATGAAAGTTGGTAAACAAACCCGTAGGAGACAACCCTCTGAAAAAAAGAAAGAGATTTTTTTTTAACCCAGCTGTTTTACTGGCGATGTCTATGGAACAAAAATAAATCTCGTAAAAAAATTCAAGAGAACTCACAGAATTTCAAAATTTTGTTAACTTTTAAAATTAAACGCTGAAAAAATCGTGTTTTTTGCTTTGATTTTGCATCATTTTCTGATAACTAATTGATTTTAGAAATAGATTCTTAGTGGCGGTCATCCGCACAAATAGCTAATTTATTTTATTTCGCTTCAGTTTATTAGAATCTAATTATCGCAACCTGAGTAAGCGATATCAAATTTTTTACTTTTATTTATTTTCGAGAAAACACACAGGCAAAAATTTGTATGACGTTGTCGACGCAGAATGGGGCGCAAACTTAATCAAAAGGTTTTAGTAGCTTTTCAATTGTATTTCTTGGCCTAGACATCACACCACTTTCACCTAAACATAACCGTCATATAACCGTCCAAGATAGAGACATGGCCATACCGAAATATATTTTTGATTCCATACGAACCTTATCATTTTCGCAATCGAAGATCATAGATCATATTTATATCCAATATCGCATTCAAATTTTATTAAAGTCTTCTAATGCGTTGGTATCTTTTCGTTAAAATAATTCTAATTGCAGGACTAACAAAAAATTTGGTGCACAAAGCACATTTTACGGCTGCGCTAAATATACACCTATGGTAATTTATTAAAGTTAAATAATGCATCCAAAACCAATTTTTTTTTAATTTATGTGATTGTATATAAATATATCTACATTTTTTCTTATATTAGTATAAAAACATATTGTGTGGCATTAAATATAAAGAAATAGAAATATGATTAATTATTTTATTCATCAAGTAATTAAGAACTAATACAATTACTTTTTATCTTATAATATGCATTTTATTTGCATGTTAATATTGTTTTTGTCTTGTAATATACATGTAATTTTAGTGGTGTTAAGTTTCGACTTTTTCTTTCTTGAATACTAAAAAGAAACATTTAATTATTTTAAAATATTATTCAATACACAAAATTATAATGGTTTGTTTAGGCATATTCCGCATCACTGTTTTCATCATCCGTAGAATCAATTTTTTTTCTTTTTTTTTTAGATCGCACATGATTTGTTTTGCGTCCACTAGTTTTTGAAGGCAAAATGGATGACTTCGCAATATTAGACATTGACACATCGACCACATCCTGAAAATCCCGTGATATTGTAGGCATTATATTTTATAATAAATTAAACACAATTTTCAAATTTGGAACTTACCGTGACGTTTAATGAGCATCCATCACCAGCGGTGTGGGAATTTTTTGTTGAATTGGTGAGCCCCGCCCCATCAGAAGGAGCAGAGATATTTAAAATTGTTTTGTCGCGGGATTCATCAGCATCAGAGTCTCCGTCATCCGGATCCAGTTTTAACATCAGTTGCTTAAACTAAAAACAAATTAGAAAATATTGGAAAAATATGTGTATTGATACCTACATCAAGGTACTTGACAACAAGGTCCAATTTCTCTTCTTTAGTAAATGTAAAATTAATGTCCGTAATCAATTTTTCTTGCGACATTTGTTTCTTTATAACATCAATAGTCGTTTTCGGATTAAAATCAGTAACACTTTTACGTGTTACAGCTTTTTCATATAATTTTTGTTCGGAAGGGGAATATCTTGAAATTTTACTGTCAGTAATAGCATACATTTCCTTTAGATGATCTTTTAGTATTAAAAGAAGCATACATGCTTGAGCAGATGTTATACATTTTATTATTTCCGTCATATCTTCTGGCAATCTATTAAACAACACCTGTGGGTCTTCTACATCGTCATCATCTTCTAATACATCTCCTTCCTTGTCACTCGGTTTTATATGTTCCTTGAACGTAGCAAGTAAATGTGTTCCAGCCATTGAAATTAAGAGATCTATTTGATGGATTAGATATAGAGGTTCATCTTGAACTACATATGGAAAATAGGCCAGGTTATCAGCAATATATAACATTTGTTGTAATGATGTTTTCTGATCGTCAAATTGTTTAGTAACTGTTTGCACTAAAGCACGCCTTTGCGGTTTAGTAGTGCGCAGAAGTGTATAAAGAAAGTCGTTTAGAGCGGTAGTTGTATTATCTGGTCCGCGGTTCCTTAAATTGTAAATTAATTAATATAAGTATACAGAATCAGAAATAAAACTCACGCATATCCTCTAATTATTTCCATTTTTCCTCTGTCGTTTATTTGTAAAACTTTTTGTAGCTTAAAGCAAAGTTGTAGCCCGAATTGAACTTTCATATTAACAAATCCAGAGTATGTTTTATCAATATCTTTTAACAGGGCATCAGCTCGATGGGCGGACTAAAAATATTTATTTAGGATTTTCAAGTTAAGCAGACTTTATTTCGTACTTACCTCTATCCTATGATCAGTGCTAAGGCAAATTAAATATGGAACCATTCTAACAGGATGAACCAAACCTTGACGAAGGACAATCTGTATTACTTTAACTGCCCACAAACGAACTGTGTCATCCCGATTAAGAAAGCATTCAAGAATTTCTTCTAAATATAGTTGAATTATTCGACTTGCCATACCAGACGAAACGTCGTTCATTTCCTTAAGATCTTCGTGTTTTGATTGTTTTTCCCCTGTAATCATTAACAAAACAAAAGTTCGAGCTTAAATATTTTTTCCCAAATATGTTTCACATATTAAGGAAGTAAGACATCCTATTTTTATTTATATACAACATTTTTAATATAATATTGTTCTTAATAGCGGGGAACTCCGATTGGGGATTGTACGATTTTATTTTTTCTAACTATAGCCGTTACTCATAACTAAAAGAGTATTCTAGATTCATTGAATGTATGGACGTATATTCTTAATCAGGATCAAAAGGCGATTCATTCTAGTCATGTCCGTATCCGGATATAGGCTTTTATCTCGATAACTAAAAAAGCTTGAAAGCATGATGTCAATTGTTTCCCGCCGACAACTTTTTTACGCCCACTCCTTTAGAAGTTTTGTTATTTGTTTGACGCCACGCCAAAAATTTTTAATTTTAATTTTTAATTTATCATTTTTAAAAAATTTTAATTGATTTATTTTTTTACTGTTTAATATTTCGATCGCTATGCAAATAAAAATTTTGCAATTCTTTGCAGTTTTTTTTTATATTAGTCATTTGATATTTGCGACCTTATAAAGTATGGTCCGTCCATCCGTCTCTACGCCAAATAGTCCCTTTGTTCTAAAGGTGTGAATATGAATGATTTCCAACAGTCTTTTTTCTACTGAAGGCATCGTATAATTCGCGGGGGTTTTTTGCTACAATAATTTATAATTTTATTTATGAAAGAAGTAAATTAAATGCCCTTTCATTTTGGATTTTACAGTAAACAAAACTTTAAGTCGATTGTGCTAAGAATGTCATTTCTGAAGTCGATGAACATTGTAGCGGCAAAACCATCAAATCCATTTGTTCCTAAATATTTATAAATTTACCAGTCATAATTGAAAATAACATTTTCGTTATTTTTAAGAAAATTTTTGTTTTAAACCTTGCTAAAAAAAATAAGCAAAATAAATTGAATCCGTACAAAGGGCTTCGTGATTATAAGGGGTATTCTATAATATATTCAATTTCGTTTTTCCATTACAATATAAGCCAGAAAGTCGTAATTATAGTACTGCTTCTACAAATTATCAGCGATATTTTTTTGTGCTTATTTAACGACTAAAAATACTTACAAGCTACCA